GAGTTATATCCTAGCCTCCCAACCCCTTCTTTTTTTGTTTGTTTTTTATTTTAAGACAGGGTCTCACTAAATTGCTGAGGCTGGTAGTCCTCCTACCTCAACCTGCTGAGTCACTGGGATTACAGGTATGCACCACCCCAGGTAGCTAGAGTGAACTTTTTCTTTTTTCTTTTTTCTTTTTTTTTAAAGAGAGTGAGAAAGAGAATTTTTTAATATTTATTTTTTTTTAGTTTTCAATGGACACAACATCTTTATTTTTTTTATTTTTATGTAGTGCTGAAGATCGAACCCAGCACCCCGCGCATACCAGGCGAGCGCGCTACCGCTTAAGCCACATCCCCAGCCCCAAGAGTGAACTTCTTAATGGCTTTATATTATTTTGGCACTGGGGATTGAACCCAGGAGCACTTTACCACTAAGCCACATCCCCTTTTATTTTTTTATTTTAAGACAAGGTCTTGCTAAGTTTCTGAGGCTTGGCTTTGAAATTGCAATCCTCCTGCCTCTGCCTCCCAGATCGCTGGGATTATAGGTGTGCCACCACACCCGATGCTTAATGGCTTTAATTCTCCCTGGTATCTCCAGAGCCTAGTGGACCACCTTGAACATAACAGATGAACTGAACTTACACAGCTGGTACTGAGGCAACACTCAAGGAAGAACTGCACTGAGGACATCTTGAGAAGAAAGATTTGTATTATTTGGGGGGATTTGAACACTCAGAATTACTGTCATCATTGTTAGGGATAGGATAGCATTTTGTTTAGGAGATGTTGGCTATTTGGATTCTAACCCAATAATTTCTACCACCATAATATCTCTCTACCTGTCTATGTGTCTGTCTTCTGTCTTGTACACAGGCTGGATAAATGATAAGAGAATAAAGATCTACAGTGATTGAATCTGTTTGGGCTTACCCTATGAAACAAGAAGGAAGACATCTGTACTTCTTCACAAGGTTCTTCTCAATGTCCATTTCAGTTACAAGGTCCTCAACATAAAGAAGGGGAAAGTTCAGAAGCACACCATAGAATATTCATTACATTGTTGGCTGCTGAGAAGAAACAGGCTGCTTTTACCTATCCTGAGCTGAGAGCATCTAGATTTTGATTGGATTGTTGCCAGAGCTCATTAGCATAGTGTACCCTGACCTGGAATAGGGAACAGGAAAATGACCAGAACTTACTGGGACCTGAACGGGAGATGAGTTCTTGACAATATTGTCTACATCTGGATAAGAAGTCAGAAGGTAAGGAAGCCAAAACTATTGACAAGAGAGGTAAATGTAAAGGTTGTGGTAATGGCCATCCACTCCTACATGGTTTTATTTGTTCTAGTTCATTCTCTGTAGAAATGATGAATATTGAATATACTTTGGCCAAAGTGCTTTTAAAAAAAAATGAAGTCTTGACAGATTTAGTTTTTTAACCTGGAAGATGATTTGCATTTACTTGTTTAAGGGCCGAAAAGCAGTCTTTTGTTTTCTTCTTTATATTTTTATTTTATTTTATTTTTAATTTTTAATTTTTTGGTACTGGGGATTGAATCCAGAGGCACTTAACCACTGAGCTACATCCCCAGTCCTTTTTATATTTTATTTTGAGATTAGGGTCTCACGAAGTTACTTAGGGTCTTAACTAAGTTACTGAGGCTAACTTTGAACTTGTAATCCTCCTGCCTCAGCCTCCCGAGCCGCTTGGATTACAGGTGTGCAGCACCATGCCCGGCTAGTCATTTTATCTTTTCTGTTTTGTTCTTAATTTTCAGGGAAATATTAATGTTCATTCATTTAGCAAAAGTTTATATCAGAAAAAATATAAGAAGTAACATAGCTTTCCTGAAGTATGACTTTTAAAAAGAAATTTCTCTTCCCTTAATTTTGTCATGTATTTATTTTTGAGATGGGGGTCTCAATGTGTTGCCCAGGCTCGTCTTGAAGTCCTGAAAGCAAAGGGATCCTCCTGCATGCTGGGACTACAGGTGTGTGCTACTGCACCAGCTCCCTTCCCTTAGTTTAAAAACTCCCTTCCCTTAATTTAAAAGCAACAATTATATTTATTTTGGAACAGGTGAACATTGGGAATTCATGTATGATAGTAAATTATGAACATATTCAAAGAGAATGAAGCATGGGTTTTGTTTGTTTGTTTGTGGTGCTACAGAATGAACCTAGGTCTTTGTGCTTGCTATGCTACCACTAAGCTATAAGCCCAGCTGTTTTTTGAATTTGAAAATATAAATTTTATTTTCCAAAGTTTAAAAAAAAATCCATTTATTTTTATTATTCCATGCTGGGAAATGAACCTAAGACCTCATGCATGTACTCTACCACTGAGCTATATATTCCTACTCTAAAAATAAATCTATTCTAATTGCTTATAACAAAACTTGGGCTATCAAAGTTACTATTGCCAACGCCCTAAGCAACTTAGGGAGACCCTGTCTCCAAATAAAAAATATAAAGAGCTTGGGATGTGGCTCAGTGATGAAGTATCCCTGGGTTCAATCTCTGGTACAAAAAAAAAAAAGTTACTATTGCTACTATTCAAAAGAGGTAAGTACATAAAACCGATGCTTGATACTTGTTATTTAAGTCCTTAGAAATAAAATCTTTTTTTTCAGCAGCAACTTAATGTTTATTTCTTAAATGTAGAATTTTACTTAAAACTTGTGGGCATTGGTCTAGGGTATAGCTCTGTAGTAGAGGGTTTGCATTACACACATAAGACCCTGGGTTCCATACCCAGCACTGCGGAAAAAAAATCACAACAGCAACAACAACCCTTCTCCACATTTAGTCTTGTATGTTAATGTTTGAACTGGGGAGTAGGGACCTCGAGTGCTTTGAGTCTGTGGCCACTGGGATGTTCCTAAGCGTGGGAAGAGGGGTAGAGGGGGAACTCACTTTAGTTTGTTATTTAATGGCTAACATTTCATTTATATGTTCAGATTAACATTCCTTATATACATACCTTTTCCTCAGTGGAGTTTGGTGATGGGTGAGTATAAGGAATAAATAAAGATAAATTAAAAAAACAAAGTCTGCAGGAATTGCTAAACTTCATTCTACTATTATAACTTGTATTTTGAGTTTGCTGTTAAGTGGCTCTATATAGCATTGTTATGTCCCTGGATTTTATAAGAGTGCCAACAAATGAGAGTGTTTCATAGATGAACATGTTTCACTTTGGATTTTGTATCCTACTAGCGAGAACATTTTATCTGCAAAACGATTAGCTTTTTTTTTTTTATCAGTAGAGAACATTTCAAAATTTCTTTTCCTTTCTTCCCTCCTTCTTCCCATCCTCACTCCTAAATCTTTTTAAACCAAGAAGTTAGACAGCATCTTTTTAAGAAGGTGGGGAGAGAGCTATTGTTGAAGATAGTAAAAAAATCTTTTTAATTGCTTTTTTTTTTCAGCATTGGAGATTGAACCCAGGGTGCTTTACTACTTTCCCAGCCCTTTTAATTTTTTATTTTGAGATGGGGTCTTGCTAAATTACCAAGGCTGGCCCCCTGAGTGGCTGAGATTATAGGTGTGCCCACCAGGCCTAGCTACAGTCAGAAAATCTTCAAGTGTGCTTTAAACATCTCTCTTCAATACTGGGAATTGAACCCAGGGACGCTCTGCCACTGAGCTATATCACGGCCTTTAAAAAGAATTTTAATTTAGAATCAGTGTGATTGCATATGCCTATCATCTCAGCAACTAGGAAGGTTAATGCAGGAAGATGACAAGTTTGAGAGCAGCCTGGGAAACTTCCTAAGACCTGTCTCAAAATAAGACCTGTCTCAAAAGGGCTGGGGGACTGGGTGTAGGTCAGTGGTAGAACACACTTGGATTTAATCCCTAGTACCACACAAAATTTCTTTAAATCTAGAATTGAATTATTATTTACTTTGCTGTATTGGAGATTGAGCCCAGGGGCACTCTGAACTATATCCCCAGCCCTTCTCATTTTGAGGCTGGGCTTGAACTTTCAATCCTCCTGCCTTAGCTCCTGAGTAGGAGAAACACTATGTTATTTTTTGTTATTGTTTGGTACCAGGGATTGAACCTAGGGGCACTTAACTATTGAGCCACATCCTCAGCCCATTTTTTATATTTTATTTTGAGACAGGGTCTTACTGAGTTGCTTGGGGCCTCGCTAACTGAGTTGTTGAGGCTGCCTTTGAACTTGCAATCCTCCTGCCTTAGCCTCCTGAGCCACTGGGATTACAGGCATGCACCACAATGCCCCCAGAAACACTATTTTAAAACAGCACTTCTTGAACAGCCGCCTTTAGCCCCTATCTCATGAAAATTGGTCTGGAGATATTTTGGGGTATCACAACTGAAAAGGGAGGTGCCCTTAGTATCTAATGGGTAGAGATTAGGAATAATGCTAAACATTCTAAAATGTGCAAGATAGCCCCCACAACAAAGAATTACCTAATCCAAAATGTCCATAGTGCTAAGGTTAAGAAACCATGTTTCAGAGAATATTTGATGATGGTATTTGAACATCCACAGACATATTTGGGAGACCAAAATTAATCTCTATGGCTTCCAGATAAATCCAATGTGATGTTCCCCTTGTGTAACTTCATGGTAACTAATTTGTGAAATTGTTTCTGTGGAAAAAAGTCCAAAGCAGTTATCCTTCCCTGCCCTAACATTTATGAAGAAAAGGGTCCTAATCATTTGCTACACACAACAGTAGTTCTTACTAAGAACTAACTCTATAACCTAGCAATGAGAAAGAAAGCCCAGACCCAAGAGTCAAAATAATGATCTCTGTACTTCTAGTTCCCAATGGACAAGGTTTATTTTAACAAGTTCACTAGTAGCTTCTATATTTTTTTTATTAATATGTTGGTGCTTGAAAAAATGTTGGTGAATCAGATATTTCTGGCAGATGAAACTGGTTTTTATCTCTTGAATGGTTGATATTACTTACTATCATTTATTTTTTAGCCTCTGAAAACAATCTTCTGTTTATGTTACTTGAATAGGCTGATCCACCTATATCAAGAACCTTTGAGAGCAAATTCTCAAATTCAAATTGAAGGAAATTGAATAGAGGAAAACGTGTGGGTGACCTGACTTTATCATGGAACCTGAAGACTTTGATTCTGAAGACAAAGAGGTATTAAACTGGGACATTAATGACATGAAACTGCCACAGGTATGTACTTGCTGTAGGACTATCTTCTGCATTTGGCTATGAATCCTTGACTATTATTAACCTGCTAGGACCTAGAAGGAAATTGGTGAGGGTCCCATCTGTGTGAACTCCCTTAGACCTTCAGTAGACATCTGATGGAGGATTTTGTTGTTGTTTATTTTTCAATACGGGGGATGGAACCCAGGACCTCATGCTTGCTAAACAAGTGCTCTACCACTGAGTCACATCCCAACCCTTTTTACATTTTATTTTGAGACAGGGTTTTACTAAGTTGTCCACGCTGCCCTTGAACTTGCCATCCTCCTGTCTCAGCCTCCTGAGTAACCAGGATTTACACATGTGCACCACTACACCCAGCTCAACTGAGAAATTTTAAGAGGAGACATGATTTGAGCAGCTCTTTACCTATCAGATCCTCCCAATACTAGACTGAGACAAAGAGTGTGCTAATTCCTTTCTCTTCCTAAGCTGCCCTGCTCAGGTTGTACTCACCCTGGCCAGTTGGTATGATCAAATGCATGACAATTTATTTGTGCTTCATTGTACACAAGATCCCATACCATTTTATCTTATAATAATGGCCTGTAGCTGCAATATCTGACTGATGGTGTTTTTGTGGAATATGACATGCTCTTGTATGACTTCTGTAAATACCACACAGCCAAACTGGATTGCTTTTTAGATACAGAATGCCTTTTATTTTATATTTTCTTTGACCTCCTATTTGGTAATTGACTTTCTAAGTCTTAATTTGATTGAAAGCACTGGTTGTTTAAAACTGATTTTTCCATGTATATCATTCCTGGCTTCCTTGTCCTATCTTTTGGGTGTTTTAATAATGTTTTCCCTGAGGTTGTTTGAAAAGGAGACTAGGAAGACTAGGGGTGGAGACTAACTAGTACCAAGAAATGAAAAGGTCCATCTAGTCTGCCTGATTCTGGGAGCAAGGAATTTGAATTACCCCAAGCAAAGGAGAGGAGACAGAGATTCCAGAGTCTTGATTTATAACCAATTGGTATTTTTACTTTAATGAAGCTGTCCTTTCGTTTCTCCTTAAAGTCCTCTCGTATTCTCTCTTGGTAGGTCTTAGGAGGGCTGAAGAATGGAAAATGTACCTATTTTCTACTCACCTGAAGGTGGCTAAATGAACCACAGCTAAAACATACCCATGTCTATTTTCAGGAACTTATGTTTATAACTGCTCTTAATTTGTATTACAATTCTTATAGCTGTTTTAGAGATGCTCTAAGGTAAATTTTAATTACTCCTAGCTCCGGGACCCTTATTTTGCCTGTTTCAAATTTTATGATGGCAACTCATAAATAGGAGTTGGAGATACACAAACATCAAGAACTGAAGTTAGCAGATGCATGGAAGATGTTGCAATGTCACATTCTAGAGCAGGGTTGCAGTAGAATCAGAGATCTCCTTGAAGTGGTAGGCAATACTGTGTGTTAACACACACTTTTCTTTTCTTTCTTTCTTTCTTTCTTCTTCTTTTTTTTTTTCTGGGACAGAGGATCCATATCACTCATCAGATCCATAAACAAAAAAGGGAAAGAACTACTACCCTGAAGGGAAACTTGGGCTCATAGAAGCTCATGTTCCAACATGAATTTCCAGAAACAAGGCATTCTTAGTTACCTGAGAGAGTAAACTGAGAAATCTAGTGTGAAAATATAGATTCAGTTTTGGAAACATATCATTTAAAGTTTATAGAAAATGTACCAAGATTATTTAGGGAAATAGTTAAGTGCCTTCAACTTGTTAAATATACCATGGAAATGATTAAAAAGTGCAAATATTTCTTAATTTCTGAGCAGAGACCACATCATTCAGCCACCTCTGAAATTATATCAAGAATCAGTTGCGGGATTGAGGTTGTGACTCAGTGGTAGAGTGCTTGCCTGGCATGTGTGAGGCACTGGTTTTGATTCTCAGCACCGCATAAAAATAAAATAAAGGTAAAGATATTTTTTATTTTTAAGAACCAGTTGAGGTAGAAAATAAAAAATCTGGGAAAGATTTTCAAACAAAAGGTTTTATTTTTTAGAACATATCTGGAAGCACTGTAGTGCATTATGGAAAACTTAGGACTTAGAGATAGCCCTGGACTTGAGTTCCAGCTAATAATTCTAGAATTCATTGGTGAGTAGCTGCATTGCCTAATGTCTGTGTGACTCTGAACAAAATCATTTTTCTTACGTCTTTGATACCTCCTTACATATCTTGCCTCAATCTCTAAGCTATTTGGAGCAGTGTTTCCCAATTTGTAGAGTACAAATTATAAGGAATTTTAAAAGGTCTTGCTGAGAAAGTAAAGGGGCAATGTTAAGTTCAAAGAAGCTAAACAAATTTCTTTACTGCAGATCTGTATTCTATTATTCCATCCTGTGTGTAATGGCTCTCCTGAGAGAAGGTCATATTAAGAGGTGTTGCCCTAACATATTTTCACCATGGGCCTCTTGTTTTGCATGAAGACCCACAGATTATTAGTGTTCCAGCTTGCACAAAAAACTGTGGTTCAAAGAGTCAAATGCAATGTCTTTTTATTATAAATTTCCTCAATTACATTTTCTCTCCCACCTATAAAAATAATTCATGGTTTATTTTTCATAATTTTATATTCTTGCTGGAACAATTTACTTCGGCAACATATGGTACCAATTCTTTATCTGTTCTCAGCTTCTCACATGCTTCCAGTTTCAATCAGTAAATGCTAACTTGGTTATTTTGGATAATCGGTTACCCATTGGCTAATCTTCCAGGCCTAGAATCTCTGCATCCTTTTATATCCCTCAGATATATCAAGATGTGTGGATTAATTTTTGACAACAGTGAGAGTGATGTCCCCTGGATCAGGCAGAGAGATGCTGAGGCCATTCGGCTATGATGACTTCCATGGAAGGGCTCATGGTCTCTGGTCTAGTGGAACAAATACAGTGTCTACATAAAGAATTAACACCAAGTAGAAAAATGCTAGAGGAACTTGAAAGAGGGATACGTATTCAGCCTGACTCTGGCATGGGAACAAGACAGAGTCTCTAGCAAATGGCTTTGACCATCAAGGGAAAGCATAGGGCACCGAAATCTGAAGGTTCTTAGATGTCTCCACCTGAGGGAGCCATGCAAAGGAATTCAGCAAGAATATTTGGGGTGTTACTGGCTGGACAGGTGGTTTGGAAGCGGGCTATCCCTAGAAGACAGGGCTATATTACAGGTAGTGAGAAGCCATTAGGTGGTTGCACAGGAAACCATCATGTTCAGATCCTGGGTATAGAAAGGCCCCCTCCCTCCAACTCCACTTGCCCTCAGTAACTCTTTCTGGACATCTGGGCATTGAACCCAGGGCCTCGTCAGTCAGGGTGAGCCAAATACACTGGCTCCCTGTATTTGTTCCCTGCATGTTCCCTCCTCCTTCCGCTGTATTATGTCTTTACTAATCTTCATGTCACTGTTTCTATTTGAATTTCATTTCTGCTTAATACAACCATTAGGAAGCCAGCCCAGAAGTGTAGGTACCTGAAGTATAGGCATCATCGATAAAAGTCTCTTTTTTCTAAGCCAACGTAATCCATCAATTTTGTTTTCCCTTTCATTTCCCTTACATTACATATACTGGAAAGTTCAATTCCAATTGCTTTAGTGAGTGCTTGGTTCATACAGTAAATGTTGGGCGTTGGTTTATTTTTACCTTCATTAAAAATGTAGATTATGTGGTCCCAAAGAGTGTCACGCTCTGATTAAAACTGATTATAACATTTATGGAAGAGCCTTGTAGGAAATTTATTTTTTTGTTTGAAAATTAGGAAGAAATTCAGTTTCTTTTTCTACTTTAAAGTACCCATTTCACAGAGGGAGGTTAAGTATTCATTCTGTTTCTAACACCAGCCAGTTCTTCCAAGCAGAAATCTGTTGTTTCAATAACACCACAGCAGAAAACACACTGATTCATTTTGCTCCTAAGCTCTGACTAGTTTTCAGATCAAATCCATGGCCAAAGCCACACTAAGCCATTAACTCACACGATTCCAGGGGTTTCTTGATTGTTTTTATTTTATAATCCTAGGGATTAAAACCATAGCCTAGTGCATACTAAGCATGTACTCTACCAATCAACTACAACTCTAGCCCAACTCCACGTTTTAAGTACTTTGTTTTTGGTAAAGAAAACATTCCCATCTGGGCATGGTGGTGCATGCCTATAATCTCAGCAACAAGTTCAAAGCCAGCCTCAGCAATTTAGTGAGGCAACTTGGAGAGATCCTGTCTCCAAATAAAAAATAAAAAGGGCTGGAGATGGGCTCAGTGGTTAAGTGCCCCCTGGGTTCAATCCCTGCTACCAAAAAAAGAAAGAAAACATTGCCTAGAATAGACTAGTAGAAAAAAAAAAGGTATGAAAGGACTGTCGCTCCAATTTGTTTGTTCCTAGATTATGATTGTACCTAGCAAAATTTCCTTTAACTCTGCAGAGGATGATCCCAAAATTGTGAGCAAAAGCAACTTGTAAATTTTTCTGCTAATTCATAAGACTCAATGTAATCAGAACAAAGCAACTGTAGGAATCAGATGTGTCTTGATGCTAAGGAGATAACAGAGAAATCAGATTCTGGATTTCTTGTCAATTATAATTTGACTACATGATCAGGTCACATTGTTGGTCTGATGGAGACACCCATGACTTGACCCTCTACCTAGCATTCTCTTGGACCTCAAGGTCATGTGAACGTTCTTGGCACAGCTTCACCTATATGGACTCCCATGATTATTTGGGTTCCTACTATTAGCGCAGGAATTCTGCCACTTTGGGCTGCTGCTGTGATGGGGATAGGAATGTACTTGCCACTGTGGAAGTACAGACGCTCCTCCAGGTGTCCTCCAGTAGGGCCCTTGCTTAGGAGGTGAAGAGGGAAAGGAAGGGCAGAAGAGAAGAGGGAAGTAGGTAACAAAAAATTTTGAAGCTGGAGTAACTTGGTCTCACTTAGTTTTTTCAGAGCAAATAAGGAATTTTATCCTGAGTGTGGTTCCTGAACTCATGTAGGAAATAGCAAGTTTAATGTAAGGAATCATTCTAAGATGATCAAAGGCATTTTGTTGGAATGAATTTCTCTCCTTGATGATACTTGGAATTTTATTTCCAGTTGGCCCAGAAGATAGAAGTTCCCGGAAAGTTTTATGTAGATCAAATGCTGCTTGATTTTTTTTTTTTTTTTCCTCTAAGTCACATCTAATTTTTTCCCTATATTTGATTTGCTTAAAGGCGTTTCTGTTTGCTGTGCCTTCTGTATTCTGGAAATATTTATTATAAGGATTTAATAATCTATTCATATAATTAAGGAAAACCCAGCAAATCATTGCTTTATATGAGTGCTCTATAAATACCAGTTGTTGTTGTTTTGTTTTGTTTTTTTCAGTCCTGGGGATGGAACCCAGGGCTTCTCACATGCAAGGCAAGTACTCTAACACTAAGCCCTATCCCCAGACCCCCTTTTCATTTTTATTTTGATACAGGGTATTTCCAAATTGCTGAGGCTGGCCTTAAATTCAATCTTCTTGCTTTAGCCTCCTGAGTAGCTGGGATTACAGGTAGACATCACCATACCCATCTCAATTTTGATAAAATGACCTAATGTAAATCATTTTGATATTTCAAAATTTGAGTCTAAATGTATTACTCTTACATAGTAGTAATAGCTAATTCTTAGCTGGGTGTGGTGACATCTCCCTGTAATCCCAACTACTTAGAAGCCTGAGGCAGAAGAATCACAAGTTTGAGGCTAGTCTAGGCAACTTAGCGAGATCCTGCCTCAAAATAAAAAATACATAGAACTGGGTTTGTAGCTCAGTGATAACGTGCCCCCATACCACAAAGAGAAAATAATCTCTAATTCTTACAGCACCCTACCAAAATTTCAAGCAGTTAAGTTAAATTAGAATTAAGGGAGTATAAACTGTGCTCTGATTACATAGCACTCGGAAAGCTTTGAGTGAGTTAGAAGATTAAATCTCCTAGTAAAACATTATACAAAGAATTTATGGAAATATCAATTAATTTCCAATGATGTTATCCATGAGATTATAAAATATAAATTAGTTAGATTTGCATTGCGGAAACCTTAGGAATATTCCCTTTCAATTATAAACTACTTAACTAAGAGGAAAAACAAAGAGTTACTCATGAAAAGTTAGAAATTAAGATAAACAAAGGATCTAAAAAGAAGCAAATATTTTATGGGGATTTGCTAAACAAGATTAAGAAATGATTATTCTTTCATTTTAAATTTTACCTCTCCGAAGCTTTCAAATATTCTTTTCTCATATTCAGGCCTGCAGACATAGCTCAGTGGTAAGGCTTTTAAAAGCCTAGCACATGTGAGGCCTTGAGTTCAATCTCCAGGATTGCAAGAAAGTCTTAGCCTGAGAAAATCAGAGTCTGAGAAATCACTGTCATCCATTTGACTCTTAGGTTGTTTTGCATTATTGGAATCTGAATTTTCTCATAATTTCAAAGTAAAAGATGTCAAAAAACCCACTAAATGTCAGATTAAAAGACTGGGTGCAGTGGAGCTTGTAATCCCAGCTACACAGGAGACTGAAACAGGAGGATTGTGAATTTGAGGGTTAGGCAACTTAGTGAGACCCTGTTTCAAAATAAAATTAAAAAGGTTTAGGGATGTGGCTTAATGATAGAGCGCACCTGGATCCAATCCCCAGTACTGCCAGACTGGGCATAAATAAATAGCCAAGAGAATCATTTGATCACATTTATTCTTAGTGATTTTCTCAATCCATATACTATCAAGTATATGGATTATTATTCATGAATCTGAACTACAGTATTATTCATGAATCCTGAAAACCAGGGTGCCAATGGACGCCCTGCAGAAATAAATAGATTAAATGATGTGGAGATTACTTCTTCCTCCACAGGAAGGGTGTCTTTGCTTTAGTCAGAATATCTAAGAAGCTAATAGATTTATTCCTCGTATCCTGGGTCATAGGAGTTATGACCTAGATCAGCCTGAAGAGGACACTTGTCTTTAAAAATCTCAACTTTTCTCTAAGTCCCTCTTTTTCCCTGTCTCTGTTACTCTGCTAACTCTGTGTTATAGTGCAGTAATCCAAAGAATTTCAATCTACCAGATTTTCATAGTCCAAATAATTAGAGATAAGTACATATTTCAGTGTTTTAATTTGCACTTTTTATCATTTCAAATAATAAAATAATCTGTTACACTTTCTATGGCATTTCTATGGTACAAAATGAGAGCATTATGTAGGTTTTTAGTTAGAACAAAGAGAAGGTAGGTGGAGAAAGCAAGAGGTTGGGGGCTGGCTGGGCAGCTTTTCACCCCAGGCATTAAATTTTATGAAGCTCAGAATTGCCAGGGGACTGGGGAAGAAAGGGAAAGTCCTGGAAAGGACAGAGAGACAAGTCTGGCTGCACCTTCCTCTGGGATGCCTAATGGACCAGCGGGACTTCTCCAGATGCCACTCTGTGTGCTTTACACCCTTCCTCCCTTCTCCTCTGGGGCTGCTTCCTGTTCTTTGGCATATTCTAAACTTGAAGTGTAACTCAGTAAATGCCTATCCATCCTGATGTTGATGTTTGTGTTTTTCTTTCTAAAAATTTTTTGGCTTTATTTTCTCATATTCTAGATTGTGCTTTCCTGTTGGAGAGGTACCCTGATCTCTTCCTCTGAGCCTTCTAGAATTTTCTATTTTGACCTTCCAGAATCTTCTAGAGGAAAAGTGTTCTTGCTAGTTATTTGACAGTTGTGTAAGTCTGACTACTCATTTCATTCTAAAAACTATGCAGGATCTGTCAAATGCAGCATCTGTTACCATTGTTGGGCCTGGGATGTGAACTGTTCTGTCAGTGGCTAACATCTACATAGGGCCCACAGCATGGCAGGCGTCATGCTAAATATTTTACATATGTTATATTTAACCCTCAGAACAACTCTTGAGATTGGCAGGTCTCATTATCCCTGTTATACAGGTGAAGAAAAACAGAAGCACAGAAAGCAAAATAACTAAGGATCTGTATCCCTGAACTTTTATTGTTGTTATTTTGCAGAACTGAGCTTTGAACTCAGGGATGCTACATCCCCAACCCTTTTTAATTTTGTGACAGGGTCTCAATACATTGCTGAGGCTGGCCTTGAACTTGCAACCCTCTTGAGTTGCTGGGATTATAGGTGTGTGCCTGTGTGCCAATATGCCAGCCTTATTATTATTTTATGGTACAAATTTGCCAACTTAACTTTTTTAAAAAAAAAAACAGGAATTGAACCCTGGGGCATTTAACCACTGAGCCACATTTTTATTTTGAGGCAGGGTTTCATTAAGTTGCTGAGGCTGGCCTCAAACCTGGGATTCCTCCTGCCTCAGCCTCCAGAGTCTCTGAGATGACTGGCATGTGCCACTGCACCCAGCCATTTTAACCATTTTTAATTATATGGTATAGTCAATGGTCACCTCATGCACTTTGTTATGTAACCCCTCTCTAGAACATTTTCATCTTGTAAAACTAAAATTCTGTATCCATTGGATAATAGCTACCTCATCTCTGACCTTTCACAGAAGAGTTTAATCAGATGTTCATACACAGGGAATAGCATCTGTCCTGGGCCAGAACACAGCTCCTTCCTGAGTCCTCTGCCATTTGAGGCATACGTATACAGTGATAGAGAAAAAGGGAAAGACTCTCCATGGGGAATAAAGTGACTCTTGGGACCTTTGTGAATCAGGGCCCTCCAGTCTCCCCACTGCTTATCTCTAGTGACTTTGCATAAGCCTGTGGGATTCCCAACAAGGTAACCGCAGTGCGGTATGAGACATTATCTTACTGTCCAGTTACAAAGTTTTCCATAGTTATTGTGAAAGAGGACAGTGATTACTTCACTCTCAAAAATTCTTCCTTAGAAATGGTCATTACTTTTATCACCAAGGACTACAGAAACATCAATCAGATAGAACTCAAAGGGCCTAAATTCCAGCTTATTTTGGTTCAGTGACTGGACAGACACAGCAGTCTCTCTGCAGCTGTTGTGCTGTACAGATATCATCTCCAGGATTCAGTCTAGGCCAGACTTGCCAACGGTCTCATGCTCAGTTCTGGATGGCCGAAACGTCCTTCATGTCTATTGACTCTTCCATGATGAACAGTTGCGTTTTAGGGCTCGAACTCTAATAGCGACCTTTGTGTTTCTATCAGAATGTGAAAAAGACCGACTGGTTCCAGGAGTGGCCAGATTCCTATGTGAAGCACATATACAGCTCAGAAGACAGGAATGCACAGCGGCACCTGAGCAGCTGGGCCATGCGCAACACTAACAACCACAACTCTCGCATCCTCAAGAAGTCCTGTCTGGGTGTGGTGGTGTGCGGCCACAACTGCTCTACCAAGGAGGGGCGCAAGGTCTACCTGAGACCTGCAATCTGTGACAAAGCCCGGCAGAAGCAGCAGAGTGAGTGGGACTTAGTAGTACTGGCAAGGAAACTGGTGTCCATCCTGATGCCCCTGTCCAGATGGGCCAGTATCTCCCAACACATCCCAAAGGCTGTGTTACATCCCAACAAACCCTTCACACTAGAGTGCAGTGGGGAGCAAGGCTGAGTATATTCAGGGGAACCAACCCACTCCCTTGTTCCCCAACCTCACAGATCTACACATCCAGAGCTCCCACCAAGAAACTGCTCCCTTGGGTTAGGCACCTGATGCAAGCCCCTTGTTAAAAAGAAGATAGATCACATCTTCTATCATGAACTCATCAGTGACCCATGTAAATTTTAGTAGAATTAGAAAGTAAAAGTTTAGTATGAAGTAGTTTATCACACTTGCCATCTAACATCTTGGCAATGAGCCCCTGTGTGACCTTAATGAATGCATTCATCTGGAGGGGCAATCGTGGGATTAATTTAATTTAAAGTTAGATTTAGATCTGTCCACTTAGGTTCATATCATTATCACAAGCTGAAATGTTTGTTCTTTTTATTTTCTGTACTCATGGATTGTGAAATAGACACTCTTAGTGTTCCCTGTTCCAAAGACCACTGCAGACCCCAAGTTATTTCACATTCTTTCCTAGTAATTTGTTTTCAAAACTTGCTCTCTGGTCAGAACCTGTTATTAGTCATTCATACCCTAGTAAAAATTTAATGACTGTGTTCTCTCTCCCAGGGGGCTTTTCCCCTTGATCCTTAGTTCAATTGTAAAATGAAAGAAATTTTTTCTCTACTCTAAAAGAATTTTAAATATCAGTAGGGAGACCTTTTTCTACTCAAAAGAGCTCCTTGTTGACCTGCTATCTACCCATACCCCACTTAGAAGGTAGCATCTTGCTCTATCCATGTATAAGACCAATCTAGGCCATTATGGTGGCCAGGTATTCTTTGGTCTGGGGGGATAATACTCAGTAGACAGAAGTCCATAAAACCACCCAGGTGTATTTGCTACCACACAGAAGTTGAGTCTGTGCAGGGCTCATAAGTGCCCCGTGTGGCTCAGCCAGCCAGGTACCATCACTTTCTTTTGCTTTTTGTAGAGAAAAGTTGTCCCAACTGTAATGGGCCTTTGAAGCTGATTCCTTGCCGAGGCCATGGGGGCTTCCCCGTCACCAACTTCTGGAGACACGATGGACGCTTCATATTCTTCCAGGTTGGATTTGAGTTAGTTATGTGATTCTGTTTCTCTGTAATTTGACAAATGTTTGCAGAATTTCTTGGGAAAAGTAGGCTCTTCAGAAGCTAGAGACACTGGAGCGAAGACAACCCTGCACCAATGCTGGGAGTCCCTGCTCAGGGAGAGCAAATATCTGCACCCCACACTTCAGCTGGGAAGCCCTGGGGAGGAAGCTGGCTAAGAGGCCCTAGCTCCTGAGGACAGACAATAGCTAATCAGATCACACCCGGGCTAGCACAGTACTCTGCCCCGCAGCCCACAGCCTTCAATGGCCACCTCTGACTTAACTACCTCTGGAAACTTGAACAAGTTACTTTTCCCCCAAAGCCTCATTTTTTGCTGAAATGTATAAGAAATACAAATGGGGGCAGTGGTATAAACAGTGGACAAATGTACTCTGATATCAGACTGCCTGGGTTCCAATCAGTGAAGAACTAGCTAACCAGATCTCAAAAAAAAAAAAAAAAAAAAGTAGTCCTGATTTGGAACATTTGCCAGTTTCTGTGATGTGACTGTTCCCTCCGTGACTGATATTAAGCTGCCATCCATTTTTTTAAAAAATTTTTTTAGTTGTAGATGGACACAATACCTTTATTTTATTTTTATGTGGTGCCAGCGATTGAACCCAGTTCCTTGCACATGCTAGGCAAGCATTCTACCACTGAGCCACAACCCTGGCCCTTGCCATCCATTTTTAACAATCAGTTCACAAAATTCCTAAATGTTTCACTATTGGCTCTCTGTTTGGCTAGTTCCAGTGAGGGGAATCCCAGCGAGCCCCTGCCCCCAACACACTGCCCCTTACAAGGGGAGGTTACCCAGGTGGTTCAATCTCTCCTTGCCTCAGTTTCCCATTCTGTAACTGGGGGTGGAAATGATGGTGTGAACCTTAGGGTTCTTTCTTTTTTACTTCCTTGTCTCTTTCAAGTCAAAGGGAGAGCATGATCATCCAAAGCCAGAAACCAAGTTAGAAGCTGAGGCAAGAAGAGCAATGAAGAAAGTGCATGGGGCACCTGCCTCTGTCTCCCTAAAGCTGAAGGGGAACCCAGGATCCAAGGTAACCTGACATCAAGTATGCTCAAAACATACAGCAACTTGCCACCCCTGTGGTGTGGATGGGAATGGTCTGGTCTTTTACTGACAAAGAGAGCCAAAAAAACATACCCTGTCAGGCTCATTTACAAATAAGCATCTACTAAAGAAATGGAGTTGTTTTTCTCTTTCTTTCTTTTCTTTTATTTTTTTTCCTGAGACAGATCTCTCTAATTTACCCAAGCTGGTCTTGAACTAGGGATCCTCCTGCCTCTAATCTTAGATATGACTCTTAATTTCTGCCCCCACCACACTGCCCCTTACAAGGGGAGGTTACCCAGGTGGTTCAATCTCTCCTTGCCTCAGTTTCCTATTCTGTAACTGGGGGTGGAAATGATGGTGTGAACCTTAATGGTTGTTCTAGGCGAGATAGGCAGTGTAGCATGCTCTCAACCATAAAATTCTATGTAACTGTCTAGTCATCTTCCCTACTACACTTAAAAAAGAGAAACCTGAATGAGTGCTTTGGCACTCTATAATTAAAATAATCTCCATCAAATAGCTTTGTGCTTTTTTCCCCTCAAAATTTCTATATGCCTCCAGAGTAGATTGTTTCCTTAGCTTCCCTACCAACATGAAATAAAGTTTCTGAAGATAAAGGAATTGCAGGATGTGAGAAAGGGTTAGATGAACTGTGATGTGAAGTCCACAGCTTTATGACATCACAGCTGAGATTTGTGGGTTTGTCTGCCTCATCGTGATTTATATATATATATATATATTTTTTAAATTTATTTTTATATAGTACATTATACATTTTTTATATTTGTGTGTATATATGTCTATGTGTATTTATTAGCTAATACTTTGACATAAATAAGAGTATAACTTAATTCTGAACCAGGTTCTGTTCTTATGATTGACTAGTGAGTAATGTAGTTCCTCCATTTATAAAAATAAATTGACTCTCCAGCACTGAAAGAAAAGTGGAGGACAGGAGGGAAGGAGAGAGGAGAGGGGAGTGGTTTGATTTTTCTTAAATTGGCTCTTAAAAGTTTCTCAGAAAGACAGGGTATTAGGTTTATGTTTGAGTGTGAAATCTCTTAGGCCTGGCTGTGTGTCCATAGACAGAAAGGAAATCCAGCTTTTACTCGTTGGAAAGGTTTAAAATGGAAACCGAGGCAGCCTTTACTTCCCCAGTCTGCGGTGGCTGGGAGGGAGCTGCTGTGTGTCCCTGCTTGAAATATGCAAGGAACGAGGGGAATCTCATGAAGCACGTGCTTGTAGAGGAACTCGTGGGTGTCTGTTGTAGTTGTGTGGATTTGCTTAACTTATTAACATGAGCATTTCACTTTCCTTTCCAGTCTCTTCCAGGTGAAACACAAAGTCAGGGAAGTTTACCTTTAACTTGGTCATTCCAGGAAGGTGTCCAATTGCCTGGCAGTTACAGTGGACATTTAATAGCTAACACTCCCCAGCCGAATTCACTGAATGATTGCTTATCCTTCTCCAAGAGTTATGGTTCAGGGGGAACCACTGATCTGGCAGACCCGACTTCCACCTTAGACCCCACTAAGCTGTATGAAAAATGCAGATTTTCCAGTAATAGGATCTACAATAGTGGAGACCTGTTTCAGCCTTCTGCCTCTGGAGTCTACTCAGATTATGACAATCTGCAAGCATGGAATAAAAACGCTGCTTTGGGGAGAAGCCCTCTCAATGACAACTATTGTCCCAATTATCCTTTTCCTCTGACCAGCTGGCCTTGTGACTTCTTTCCTTCCCAGAATTCTTTGGAGAACTTTCCCCAGCAGATTCCCCTGGAACCACCTGCTGCCAAAACTAGCTGCCACCCATTATGGCCAAATCCAGGGGGCGAGCTTTATGAAGAGAAAGTGCCTGTGGATTTCAACAGCTACGTTCCTTCTCTCGCTTACCATCCACCACAGGAAGACCCCTTTCTGTTCACCTACACCCCCCATCCTCACCAGCAATGCTCCCTGCCAGGCAAGAGCACCAAGTGGGATTTTGAGGAAGAAATGACATATATGGGTTTGGATCATTGCAATAATGAAATGCTTCTAAACCTCTGTCCTTTAAGATGACTTAAATTTTTCAACAATCCCTTCCCTCCTGCAAAAAACAAAAAAACCAAAAAAAAAAAAAAAAAAAAAAAAAACCCAAAAAACAAAAAAAAACAAAAACAAAACAAACAAAAACTACTTTGAGAAATGGCTGGAAGAATTTCCTTAGGAAGCAGCTTTTAAAAAATAACTACAGATAAATGGGAATCACAACAAGTGGTAGGCAAAACATTTTTCATGCAAATAATCTTTTTGCCTCCTCCACCCTAATGCTTCCATCCTCAGTAAGGACTAGAAATTTACCCAGCCTGCTGTGTGAAATGCCCTCTGATCTCCCCACCCCACACTCATTGTTTGGGGCTTTTAGCACCTCTGCTACCTATTGGGTTTCATTGTCACAGACACATATCAAATGGAGCAAAGATGTGAAGAGTCCGCCTGCTTAGGATCTCCTCCATGCCTTCTTTTTCATAACAAAAAATGACAGAACCCAGAAACAGAGGGTAGAAAGAGCTGCAGAAGTATATAAAGATAGTCTAGAATTGATATATTTAATACTTTGTTTAGTAATCAAATTCATTTATAAAATATATATTTTCTAGTTGATTTCTAAGACTTGTCAAGACAAGAAGCATGAACTAACTCCATAAAGGACAGCAAAACTAAATGGACACATGAAGAGAATTCCAGTGTTCTCCTACATTACTCACGTCCTTCTCCCTCCTCCTCGCTGACTACACCTTTTAAAGGGATTCGATTCTGTCCGATTTATGTTTATTCTTTATGGCACCTAGCTCAGTGCCAAGTTCATAATATGTAAGAACTGTTTGCTTAGAAAAGTATCTTTGGGGACTGGGCATGTTGCTCAATGCTGAGGTGTATTTAGAACGCACAAGTCCTTGGGTTCAATCCTCAGTACCGAAGAATAAGAAAGAAAAGTCTGTACAATTAACATGGTCATGATTAGCTAGCCATATTTGAATGCAGTTCCTCCTCTTTGCTGAAGTGTGTTAATGCAAACAAATAAGTATTTTTAAAAATAGATGATTTTTTTATTTGTAACAAACGCACATGATATAAAATTAAAAAGTAAAAAAGAAGTCTTTTGTTCCCTGTCTTCTTGCAACACTGACCAGTTTTTCATCTGTTCTTCTAGAGATTAGAGATATTCTCTCTCTATATATGTATACATTATATACTTATATCATACCAGATTCATTTCTAATGTGACTTTTGTTATCCTAGGACACAATTTGAATATAAGGTCCTTGTAAACATATTTTTAAGGGTACATTAATACCTTACTATCACAATTAAATAGTTCCCTTTGATAGACATTTAGATTAGTTAGACCCTACTAAATTTCTTCATCTGAATGCATAAAACATTTACTCAATTTAGTAGTTATAAAGCCACTGCTTGTGTTAGTAATGTCCAAGCCAAGAAATAAGAACTTGCCCTTCAAAAGATCCTCTGATTGCAGTCCCCAGTCCCATACTAAACCCTTTCTGTATTTTAAAGTAATCACTAGGCTGGCTCTTTATATTTTTACTACCTTTGTATGTATTCCTAAACCAAGGTTTACTTTTGCCTTTTGGGGGGGAACCTAGCAAATAGAATCATACACTATAATTAAAAGAATGCCAACATTTAGAAGAATCCACAGGTCATAGGGTCTCAATAAATCATATGAAGACCCCAGTGTGCCTACCATCTAGTTTGTCTTATGGAACCCCACATACTTTGCAGATTAGATAGTCTGATAGCCTCAGCTATCTACAAAGAATGGCCTTTTATTGAGGCTCTATTAAATATTGAAAATGCAGGAGAAAGAACAGGTTCAGGGTCCCCTAGGCTGGGGATGTGGCACAGGCATGGTGGAGGTTCCCAGATCTGAAAGGCCCCAGCTTCAGGGAGAGAACTAGAGAAATAGTGACTGGGAGGAAACATTATTTCTACTGGTCTGAGACTGCCCAGGTATTTCAAAGAGTGTTCCTCCAGTAGACTAGGTGCCCTTTTATCTCATACATTTTCTCTCTATAATCTTGAAAAACTATAATCTTGATATTTATCAAAGCAAGACCATGTATGTAGCTTAAAAGAATTAAATAGCCAGGTGTGGTGGCGCACGCCTGTAATCCCAGCAGTTCCAGAGACTGAGGCAGGAGGAGGATTGTGAGTTCAAAGCCAGCCATTGCAAAAGTGAGGTGCTAAGCAACTCAGTGAGACCCTGTCTCTAAATAAAATACAAAATAGGGCTGGGGGATGTGGCTCAGTGCTTGAGTGCCCCTGAGTTCAATTCCTGGTAGACCCCTCCATCCCCCCAAAAAAGAATTAAATAGTACAACAAGGCTATGGACAAAGCTGACTCTTCTCCCAAGTCGTTCCCAACTCTCCAACAAGCCTCCAATTCTCAACTCAGCAGCTGCTTCTCACACTTACCTCCAGGTTACTCGAGCGCATGCTTATACATCTGCTTTTCCATTTTTATACATCTATGCTGATTTGACCAAAGATTAGGATTCAGGTCACAAATTAATACAAACCCTAATCCCAATAACTCTAAAGAACAGTTTTATTGAAGTACTATTTACATATAATAAAATTTATTATTATTTTGGTGGCACTGGATATTGAACCCAGGGGCACTCTATAACTGAGCTACACCCTCATCCCATTTTTTAAAATTTTGAGACAGGGTGTCACTAAATTATGCAGGATGTCCTTGAACTTGTGATCCTCCTGTCAGCCTCCCTAGTAGCTGGGATTTTAGGCATGCACTACTGCACCTGGCAAAATGTTACAATTTGACAAGTTTGGCCCACTGTATACATGGTAATTTTATAAAAATGAAACGTTATAGAACATTTCCATGTCTCTAAAAAGTTCTGTTGTGACTCTTTGTAGTCAGTCCCCTTATTGGAAAAAAAAACTATCCAATAATTGTAAAGTAATATAAAATAATATAAAACTGTAAGTTGCCGAGGCTGGCCTTGAACTTGTGATCTTCCTGTATCGCTGGGATTGCAGGTATGTGCCACTACACTGGCTCTTTTTTCTAGGTTCTTTTTTAGAACTTCTTTCAACTGAGTGTTGTATTTAACAAGTTTTTATTGAGCATCAGCTAATGTACTCGCCCTGGTCATTATCATTGTACTGACTACTCAGCCCTGCAAAAAAATTTTAATTATGTTTCTGAGCACTGGCCAGCTACAAGAACATAGAGAATACTTGGTTATAGAGGCCCAGATCTATTCTGGTGAAGATAAAATACAAAATAAAAATAGAAAAGGCAACTGAAATGGGAATATGGATATTCCATATTATGACAGCATTAACATTTATTATCCTTGATATTGCTGTGATTCATGTGTAACTGGTAAATGTCCTGTTAAGCATGCAGCTCAATGCCAGACCCCTAGAAATGTTCAGTGTGTATAACTGACTTGAAATGGCCCAAATATAATGAAACATTGAAAGCCAATCAAACGAAATTATTGGGCCAGGTGTGGTGGCACACACTTGTAATCCCAGAGGCTTGGGAGGCTGAGGCAGGCAGATCACAGGTTCATAGCCAGCCTCAGCAACTTAGTGAGATCAGTCTCAAAATAAAATATAAAAAGAGATGAGGATGTGGCTCAGTGGTTAAATGCTCCTGGGTTTAATCCCCTGTACCCCCCCCCAAAAAAAGAGGTTGGGGGGCTGGGATTGTGGCTCAGTGGTAGAGTGCTGGCCTCAGTGGTAGAGTGCATGTGCATGAGGCACTGGGTTCCATCCTCAGCACAACATAAATGTAAAATAAATGCATTGTGTCCACCTAAAACTAAGAAATAAATATTTTTTAAAAAAGAGGTTGGGACTATTATTCTGACTTTAATAAAACTGTAGTATGAATAAAATGTCTAAAGTATGAACTAGTTCCACTGCTTGTCTTGCCTAAAAAGTTGAAGTCAGGGCTGGAGTTATGGCTCAGTGGTAAAGCGCTTGCCTAGCATGTGTGAGGCACTGGGTTTGATTCTGCACCTCATATAAATAAATGAATAAAATAAAGGTCCATCAATATCTTTAAAAATTTTAAAAAAACATTGAAATCATTTATTACTTGGTTTGTGTCAGAATAAATTTATGTCTTTTCTGTCCCTCCACTTTGAGAACTTAAATGTTAGTAATAAAGCATAAAGAAAGAACAAACTCATGAGCCAAGAGAACAGAAAGGAGATAATAAACATATTGGAAATATCAACAAATTTCTGGGAGATGGGGAAGTGGATGGAGTGCATTGAGGATGCCTGAAGAATTGAAAAAAAAAAAAGAGAGAACCCTAGAGGGGCTGTGGATCCCACGTCATTTTGCTGAGGGCAGAAGGAGAGGGATGGGAGCGCTGGAAACAGAGCCAATGCTTAAAGGTACTTCTTCAGGTCAGCTGTTACTGGGGATCTTCTCTCTAAGCAGACATTCATCCAAAACATGCATCCTAGAAATGAAAAAAAAAATTTAAATGAAAGAACTTGTCTTAAAAGAAATTGAGTTAATTATTTTCTGAGAACTGAGGCTTCTTCTAGGGTGTTGTTCCCCCAGAATAAAGCACTTTTTATCCTTGCATTTTTAGGGAGTAAGGTGTAAATCCCAGCAACTCAGTAGGATGACGCAGGAGAATTTCAAGTTTGAGGCCAGCTTGAGCAATTAAGGGAAACCTTGTCTCAAAATTAAGAAGGCTGGGGATGTAGCACAGTAGGAAAGTTCCCCTGGGTTCAATTCCAATGCAAAAATAATATCAAAATTTTTAAAGGGCTGGGGACATAGCCCAGTGGTAGAGTACTTGCCTACCTTTTGTGAAACCCTGGGTTCTATCACCAGCAACACACACACACACACACAAGTTAAGCCAGTTGTTTGACACTTGATCTTGATGCTAGAAACTTTTGACCTACAGACAGAGAAAGATAGTTCCATCCCCAGCACCACACACACACACACACACACACACACACACACACGTTAAGCCTGTTGTTTGACACTTGATCTTTTTTTTTTTTTAAAGGTTTTTTATTTTTAAGAGAGAGTGGGGGAGA